GCACCCCTACCGGGGAGGGAAATAAACATCTTAAAGTACAAATATAAATTCCCAGCTGGCCGGGAATGGAATAGAATATAAATCCACAACATTAATGTGGCATCCAACCTGGAAGGGCATTGAAAATAAAACCCCAACACTTACTAATCACCTAATTTTCTAAAGACTCTATCTATGATGACTTTGTCAGTATTTAACACCAAATCAGAAAAAAAACATCTAAAAAATTCAGAGTAAGGACCTGGTGGACAATACAAACTTACAAAAATAAGAAGTTTTCTTGCTTTGCAAATTGGATGAGGGAAACTAAGGGTTAAATGTTCAAAAGAGTTGTAATTATTACCTGCCTTTGGAGTAATCAGTAAGTCAGGCTGAAAGATTGCTACTCCTCCTCACCCAGAATTTCTGGCCATGTGAAAATTTAAATAACGAGAGATAGTTGCCTCATTTATGTTCACATAAGTTTCTTGCTGTGGCCAGGTTTCTGTAAGGCAACATAAATCAATGTGATTATCACAAATTAAGTAATTAAGTAGCAGACTTTTTGAAGACAGACATCTTATGTTAAATAAACCACATTTAATCATTTTTGACTTTTCCCCTAATTGGAGATATTTTAATTTTAATTTAATTATCATGATTTACTCCTTTGGGAATCTTTTCTAATTTGTTAGATTTTGGTCGTGGGCAGGACACTATCAGGATGGAATCATGAGTGGGTAACAGCAGAGAAGCTGCAGAGAGGTGTGTTAAACTATGACTCTGCTTAGTGTTCTGCACGCTGGAGTGTCAGGATTTTGGAGGACTAACACATTTGGTCAGATTCCTACAAAGAAGAGCTGTAACTCTTGGATTAGTGCATAATTCCTAACACAAACTTCTCCAAGGTATTTTGAGATATTAGCTTCAAACTTGGTCAATATGCACTTAAGGCATTAGAGATTAAAAGCAATTAAAAGCTTGACTTTTTGAGTTTTTTAAAGGATTTGTCTGGGCCCTGAATAATTGAACTTTTCAAGAAATTTGAACTGTAATAGCTTTTACAAAAAAAAAATCCAAATCAAACCAAGTTTGGTGATAATGAGTCCCTTTGGTAGCTGGATGATACTGGCTGGTCAAATGATGACATCCTCAAAGCCCTGCCCCCTAAGGGGAGAAACTTACTTTTTTTCACTTGGGAATGTCCTTTTCTGATATCTTTAGATATCATCAACTTGAAACTAATTCAAAAGACAGAAAACATGTTGGTCTAACTTCCTTTAAAAACCTTTAGATCTGGACTGAAACCATGTTTAAAAATCATTTTTATTTTTTGCAAAACTTTTGTACTTTGTTGCTAAAAAAAATTAACTTCTTCTGTTCCTGAACGTATCTTGTAGACTTTTATAAAAAATAATCATGTAAACATTTAGTGTTACCTTAGTGTCAAATAGCAGAAATTCAGTGTTTATGCTTTTATTTTAACAGCAACTGGTTGTTATGGAAACTGTGATACGCCTTAAAAGGAAGCCCATAAGAAGGTCTTTATATTGTATTTGTATGTCTGGAACAGGAAAGCTCCCCTAAGAAGAACACTAACTAAATCATCTCAGCTTTAGGCTTGTCTCTTCTAGGAACTCACCTTCCTTTTAAGATCCAATGTTTGACCGGATAGCGGCCTAAAATCCATCAGGACCAGTCACTGCAGACTTCCTCCACCACAGCTGAGCAAGTGGTTCTTCTCACACAACTTCACCTTCACAGCCAGACTCTGAAACCTTTCATTTCATAGCTGACATAATCAGCTGGTCCAGATTGATTTAAGTCATTAAATATTCCATGCATTTTTTTTTTTGTTAGTTCATCGAAAAAACAGATTAAATTTCAGATAATTTCATTCAGAACAAACCAACATAACCCAATGTTTCTGCAGAACACAGGTGCTGTTTTATCAACTCTCCAAGCTTCTGAACTCAGTTTGCATTAATTCAGAGCAGTGAGGTGCAGATCTTTTCGTTATAGAAGCTATAATAGTTAAAACTTATATAATTGTAATTATAACAGCCTTGAAATCATGCTAGCCTTGAACCACAGTGTTTAATTCTACAGCATGATCCGGGTCTCTCTGTTGTACAAAATTAGGACACATTAAATTCTTCTGCACAACCTGCTTTTGGCAAGTAGGATCATACCTCAGTTTTCTCTGTTTGGAGTTTAGATCCTTGTTAACAATTTAACTAAAGAGCTAGTCATAATGACCTAAGGAAGCGCTGCATGGATGTTATGTCTATGTGTTTTGTAAAGGAACTGATATCATACAGGAGGTTACACCTTCAGTTCTGACTCAAAGAAGCTGTTTGCCAAGAAATAAAGAATCTTTGGGAATTGGGGCAAGGCATGAATCTACTCCAACTCCAAGTCTGAGTCCTGTCATTTACAGAAATAGCTTGATGAATCTATGGTATGGGCTTTGTATTGTAGCAGAAACAATCGTCTATCTTGAATGTGATGAAAACAAAGTACCTTTGTGTAAAGAAACTCTATAAGAACTGGAGGATGCCACGGCACTTAGAGCAGCAGATCCCATCCCTGTCCTCAGGAGGGGTGCACCGATTGCAGTTTCTTTGGGTGATCACCAATTGCTTATCTTTAAAAAGCCTAACATCCAATTCCAATTTTGATTCAAACTTATATTCTTTAAATTTTTATATATTATATGATCACAAAGTTCCTTCAATATTTTAATCTTGTGCTAAAAAATAATCAGTACCTGTAAAACAACAAAAACGTCTCAAATTACTGCTCTGCATCGACAGTGGGTGATTTTCAGACCACCGCATATGTAGACAAGATCGGTGGATAAGATCGGTTTCACTTCTTAGTATTAGTCAATCAGGTATATGCCCCAAATATCCAATTCAGCAGTGAATCCCTGGCCCTCAGGATCCCTGTCCTGCATGTTTTGTCTCCTTTGGGGCCACATAAAACATCACTGAGTGGTTAAAGGTTTCTGTTACTGGCATTCCCAGCTCATTTGGTTTCTAGATAACTTTACTACCACCTGCTACCAAGCAAGTTCTGCACAGATCAAACCAAGGTTCTGACCATCGTTCTCCTGGAGGACCGGAATTTATTCTAAAGCTACATTTCGCAACTTGACTTTCTTGATGGAAACTGCTCTTTCAGCTGCAATGCTCTCTGCAGAAGTTTGTTAAATACAAGGCTGTTTTGACGATAATGAGGGGCCTGTAGCTTTTCACTGGAGGCAACCATTGTTGGCAGAAAGACGGAACTAAACATAATCTGTCTGCAGATCAAACTGATGGAGGGATTTCAGTTGATTAGATTCCAACACCAATATCTCTTAGAAGAGAAGATTTATAATCTTAATAACGTGACACCAAGCAGGTGATGAAGAACAGTTTTATTTTTAGACTCTTCATCAAGACGAGAACAAAGCATGCACCATCATCTTTAGTCTGACAGAAGGAGATCTTTTTATAGCAGCAGTTCGTCACATGATGTGGTGAAGCTCCACATTTTTACATTCAGATGGAAACGGTTTTCAGGATGTGATCACATGCAGCAGAACAGACACACGGACAACAGCTTTCAGTTCATCAATGGCCAAAGCTCACAGATCCTCGTCCAACTGGACTTTCAGATTTCCACAAAGGCACCAAATCCCTCTGAGGCTTCATCTTCAAAGAACAAATCCTGATAACACATGGAGATGGTTGGAATTCCCTGGGACAAACTGTCATGGAGTGTTTCTGATTAATATGTCCATCATGACATGCTGTAGAATAAACTAAGATGATCCATTTAAATGTGAGCCAGAATCCGAACCACACCGAAGAAAAAAGCCTTTTTCACAATAAATTACTAGAGGAAAAAATAACTACCATAACAACAGAACGATAACCAGTCACAGGACTTCACTCTGTCAGCAACGATAACAATATCCAAAAGGATCTTTTTTTCCTCAGGTGGCCCTAACAGAAGGTTTACTACACCCAAGCTGCTGTTAGCAATAAAGATCAGCATCAATTGCTTCAAAGGCTTTAGCCAATCAGCAGACGTCCAACATACAACAAAAAAGGTAACCACAGTAACTGAGCATTGCCATGGCAACTAAGCTTTCATCAAAATGGCTGCTAAGCCGTCTCCACGGAAACACAGCTGCAACCATGACATCTTAGTTGTTACTGTGGTGACTGAGCAATCACCATGGCAACAGAAACATCCTAGGAAAAGGAGCCATCACAACACAGAGGTAACAAACCATCTGTCCAGGAGCTGTGTGTCCTAAGGTCTGTGGATCCAGAGTTCTGGCTCTGTAGTATGGCTCTGGTTCTGGTATTAGGTTCTGGATCTAATCTTGGTTTCTAAGTGTAGTTGAGGTCACACAAGTTGGTTGTTTTCCAAGCAGTTCTGCTTCCAGAGAGAATCTGTTTAAATATGTCCATGTGGCCTTTGACCTCTGACCAATCTCTGTGGATGTCCTCTGTCAGAGACCAAAATTGACTTTTGTAGAATGACATGACAGAATTGGCTGAGTCTGATCCACTCTGAAAGTGTCATTGAGGAGTGTCCCATCCAATAACATCATCATTTTTTTTTCACTTTAAACGTCATTAATTCAACAGATCTAATCCTATTGACAACAAAGCTTTGCTACATTATTGTTATTAAGTTTCTTGATTTATGGCTTTCAAAACGGCCAAAACAAAGGGCTGGTTATACTCCCGCAGCAGTGTGTCGCAGTTAGTTTGTCGCAGATATTTTTGATTTATGCCCAATATTGAAGCGTGGTCTGCGATATGTTATTCCACGCAACAACCCAAGGGCGCAAGCTAGCTGTGGGTCTAGATACGGCCGAGGCTGTGAGGAAGAAGGGGCAAGTTTGTGCGACAAGGAAGGGACATGAGGGCGAAAAAGGGCGGGGACCCAGGTGGAAAAAGGGTCCTAGCGTTATTGCGCACCTCGCTCTTCTAGCTGGTCCATCTACATGAGTCGTTTTCCACAATGGCGGTCATACAAACAAAACAAGCCGTCCCAAACAGGAAATACACATAGTGTAGATCGGATGTAGATTTGACCAATCAGAGGCCTCCTGTCTGTGGCACTGTCTGTGGTCACCTACATTTTTGTAGTGCTGCACCAGTGTATTTTTGCAGAATTGTTGTGGCGCAACTGCGTTTACTACGACACACACGCAGACGATTTGGTATAAACCAGCCTTAATTGTGCTATTAATCACCTTTACATTATTGGTTGTGTTGTTGGTAGTTCTGTCCAGATGTATTTTCTAAAGGTGGTATATTCCATGTGATCTTCTGTCGAGTTTGCTACTGTTCATGTGTTGTAGTATACAGATGCTATTGTCCAGAAACTTAAAATATTTTATCGTCCAGGTGTCATTCAATGCAAGTGTCATAACATTCAGTCTTGTTTTGTTGAGTTGTGTTATTTACAAAGTTTATCATCCAGGTGTTTACTGTCCAAATGATGCCACTGCACTTAGAACAGCAGATGTCATATAGTCCAGGTTCCATACAATCCAATGGTCATACTGCCCAGTTGTATCTTGTAGAGATGTAATTTAGTCCAGGTGTCATGCCATTCAGGTTTTACATAATTCCTGTGTCATGTACTTGGTGTATTACTGTTGGGTTGTTTTAAGGGGACATTGATACATTTTTGTGGAAAAGCCTTTATCTTGCAGGGTAACAAGTTAATCCTTGAACCTCCGACCCTGCAAGCTCTTATAATAGTTCTCCTGTTCAGTCTGATTCCGGATTTCTCGATCCAACATAACTAGTGCTGTTTTGCGTCTCATGGCCATTTCCCTGCGTTGAGCTTCAGCAGACAGCTCCATCTGTAAGGCAGTGTCAATGGAAGACACTGGTGATGCTGAAAGGCGTGGATTAAAGCTGCTAGCACGGGGAGCTGAATCTCCCCTGTTCAGCTTGTTGAGGTCGTAGGAGTCTCGTGGGTCATCTCCATTGGAAACAGAAGCCCAATCCCACGGATTTCCGTTCCCAGCCAGGGGAGGGGCCTGTGGAGGAGGTGGAGTTTGCACAACTGGATGGTAGGGGGCGTGGGCATTAACTGTAATAATGCCAGGTCCATCTCGCTGGCGGTCTGATGGCTGGCGACAATGTGGCGAGTCTGTGTTGGAGGAGGTTCCAGAACCGGTGGAAGTTGTCTCAGAGGATTTCTCGCAAGATGAGGAAGGAAGGAGACCCTGTTGTTTTGACATCGCAATAACCTGCATGAGGCGTGGCTGATTTGCAGTTCCCCGGCTGGATCCTTCCCCGCTCGTCTTCTCCCGGATGGCGAGCCACTTGGCCCTAGTCAAGGCACTTTTTGGGGACACTGGTGGGGGTCCAGCCTCAGGGATCTGTGGTGGTCTGGGAGTTGCCACAGCTTTGGCGCCACCTGGAGGAGGGGTGGGGTTGCGACCTGAGCCTCCCCTGACAGCGTGTACTGAGGGCTGGTAGATTGGGGCCTGAGAACCAGCATCATCAGTCCCTATAGAGCTTACTTCAGAACCGTCCTCACTGGGCTCACAATCCACATCGTCTCGAGTTCCAATGCCTCGCATTTCAATAGATTTCTGCTTCCACTCTGAAACAAGCTGCTGTGACCTCATTGGGTCCAATGGTACCTGTACAGCCTTTAGACGTCGTTGTACTGGCTGCGCAGGCGGCACCGGATCCCCTTGCAACTCATTGTTACCAAGAGCACCATTAACATTCATGCTTGTTCTCGGTAGAGTGTTACTGAAAGTCAGCATGGTTTCTTTTCCCATTGGACTCCGAGGGGCCAGCAGCTCCACATCAACACTGGCCCTCTTTAGGCTCCCCATGGAGCCCTTTTCCCTCTGCAGGGGCCTGAGGGCTTCCAATTGCTCTATTGGTGCAGGAGCCGTTGCAATCTCATCATTACTCTCAGAGGCAGAGGCAGGACCCTTGTTGTAAACTGACTCATGTCCACGCTCTGTCAGGGCTCGCAAGGGGTCTTCCATTGGAGGGGGAGGTGGGGTAGCCTGAGCAAATTCATCAGAAGACTTGAAATTGGCAACAGCATGAAGAGCCTGGATGATGAGAAATAAAATCAGACATTAAGAAAGAACCTGGAATGCAATTACATATTCCTGCTGCCGCCCAAGTACATCAGGTAAAATACAGCAGGTACTTTAAGACTGTTGGGTAGAAAAGCCTACAGTCCAGTGTCCGGACCAGGGTAGTTTAACAAACCTGTCCGTAGCTTTTCTACTGTTACCTACAGATTACCTCATTCAGACAGTATCTTTCCTAGAGCCTCAATCTAATCTCAATAATCTAAAAGGAACAACTCTTGAAAACTTCAACAGAATGTAAATTAAAAACAATGAGATGCGGTTTAGTGAACTTAATATCTAATGCCTGTTAATGTTAAGATAATCTGTTACTTAATTTTTCTATTTTGTCCCATATAAACCTGGCTTCATCTAGAGGACTTTATTAGTACAAAAAAGTCAGCTCCTCAGGTTAGAGTTTTTTTTCCCAATTTCAGACATAATGGGCAAGAGGGGAAAATCATCTTTCAAACAGATTTGTTCATTAATCCCGGTCAACTGATTTCACACCTGAATTTCAGAGAACAAAAACAACTATTCTTAATTTTAGATAAGTTCCCAGACTTTGTATCTGATTTAGTGATTAAAACTCTTAACAGATAACAGCAGGAACATGAATGGGAAATAAAGATTTGGCACCTCCACAGGCTTAGCAATTCAGAAGAAGTCTCCTAAAGAGTTATATTAATGTAATTCTCTGACAATTGCATCACCCCATGAAGACTTTGGCAACAGTCAGATACATCAGGATATAAAAACTGAAATTGGGCTTCCCGTTAAATTAAAGGAAACTGATGCTGGCTGATAAACTCCAGCTACTTGCTTGACTTAAATGTGTGCAAAGGAACAAGCAATATGACAGGGGTTTGTGTGTAGATCTCACCAGATATGCAGCAATGAAGGCTCCAATCAGGAAACCAACATACACGTCGATAGGATGGCTGCGATACTGTGTGATCTGAGTCAGCCCTGTCAGTGCTGCCGCTATGGCAAACCCAAACACCAGGACTGGCTTGAGTAACTTGGTGGAGTTGGAGATGGTGGAGTTAAAGTACATCTGAAAGGACCAGAACCAGCCGAGACAGGGAAGAGAATCAACAACAGGCTTTTGACCAATGTTTTCAGAGAGGTTGTAAACTTGCCAAACCATTGCCATTTTTGGAGAAGCAAGCAGGAGAACAAACACAGGTTCCCTCTTTTGTTCAGAAACTGTATCACTCACCGAAACATAAACGGCAGCGAAAGCTGACAGAGTTGCATGCTGGGAAGGAAACGTCCTCCTGTCAGAGAGACATCAACCTGTCATTAACAGTGAGGCTTTACTCAAAGAGAATAACACCAAGAAGAACAGAGGTCTGCACCTTGCTGCCACAATGGCGTGCTGGTCATGTCCTGAGCAGATATCTTTGGTGATGTAAGCATTTTGATCACATGACACACCTGCCAGTGTGTAGTTGGGTTTACATACGGTGAGAAAGAATGGGGCATGGTAACCTGTCGATAACTGGATAATGTCAGTGAGCAGCGCTGTTGCACAGAGCCCAAACACATGCACTCCTGCAGAGAGACAGAAACCAGCTCACATTTAGAAAAAAAAAAAAGCAAACAGGTTGTCATCCCGTGTTTCAAACTCTCAAGTAAGAAGTGGGTAATTAAGTGTATCATACAGGTGGCAGGTGTGGTCAAATGTGTCTTAGACTGACAGGTGACAGGTGTGTTATACGGTGGATCAGATAGGTGACACGTGTTATTAGATGTTTCAGATACACAGAGGAAAAGCCTTTTTATCAGCCGTCAATGAAAATCAGCTGTGCTGCAGAAGGGAAACCTCTAAAAGCTGCAGGACAGCTGCCCTCAAGGACCGACTTTGGTTATGCCTGCCATAGACACTAGTGTCATTAGGTGTATCTGACAGATGATAGGTGCGTCATCAGGTGTATTAGACAGGTAACAGGTCTGTCAACAGGCATATCAGGTGTAAGTGTGTTAAGAGGTGTTTTAGACAGTTTATAGGTATGTCATTAAGTGTCAAAAATAAGATGACAGGTGTAGTAAGTAGACAGATGTGTCAGGTAAGCAAACAGACCTACAAAGCGGACAGTCCTCCTCAAAAACGAGTTGAAGCTGCAGCCTCCAGCATTGATGCTTCCTTCAGCTCTATGGATCTTGAGGTGGGGATGTAAGCAGTAGATCACTGCTTCAACCAGCATGATCTGACACAAAAAGTAAAAAACAAAGCAAAAAACAAACAAACACCCACATTTAGCTGATTCAGGACCAGGTTTTATTCCTTCAACAGGTATCCTGCCACTTCTAGATCTCTCTCTGGTTCGACACACCTGATTGCTTTGTTACCACCTAAACTTGAAGTTATGTTTTCCAGAGGCCCGCTAATGACCTGATAATTTGATTCAGGTGCCTTAAAGCAAAGACACAATGAAAGGTTGCAGGACACAAGCACTTGAGAAATGGAGTTTGAAACCTGTGCTCTAGGGTGAGGAACACACTGTGATCTATGCATCAGTCCTGAGAGTAGGTCTTGAGACCATTAATACACCAACAAACAGTCTGAGACTGAAAAGGTCACAGTCTTATTGCTTCTTCACTGTTTTTATGGTGGATAGGTGTCAGCATGCAGTGATGAGCAAAATGCGCTGCAAAGATGTAATAGTGTTAAATCAAAAAATACAAATTCAAATGCAAAAGTACATTTCTCTGATCATAAAAACAAAATAGAACAGGAAGTAAACAAAAGCTGTGTATCAGACCACTAGGGGGACAATCAAGTCTAATGGGATCAGAACCTTAGTAAACAGATTGTCACAAAAAGCAAATGTATATTTTCCTTCATGTCAATTTAAAGATGTCAAAAAGAAGCTTTTTTTTTAAACTTGCTTTTGGTTGTTTGTTTTTTGTAGTTGCTGAATTTTTCTGTTCCAAATGTTTATTTTATTAATTTTTTTGGAGTTAACATCATTTATGTGTTAGTATTAAATTTCATCGTTTACTGTATGTTTTGCACCTGTAAGCAACCGTAGGTCAGAAGCATTTCACCATGGAACAAACTAAACATGTTAGTTTTCAGTATATGGAAAAATTAAAAGAAGAAAACAATCAAATTAGACCTTAAAGTGTGAGAAAATATAGTAAAAGAAAATGGTGAAACATTTAAAAAATAATAAAACGGTAATATATATGTGGGCAGATAATACTAGATAGACGGATAGAATTCCTTAATTCTACTCAGAGGGAAATATGTCTGTGCTAGAGCAGCAATTAAAATAATGAATAAGGAAGAAAATCAATAAAAACATATAATAAACAGTCTCTGTCCAACTTGGAGACTATTTAACAACAGAGTATTTGGAGTAATTATAACCTCAACACAACTCCAAGCAAGCAACTATACGTAGAGATCAGCTATCACTCTTCTTCTCTGTTATAAAGTCTGATCTGAGGAAATATAAAGTGGTGCAAACTTTAAGCAATAACAATGTTGAGTAAAGGTGTTTAAAAATCCACACAAACTTTTTTACTTGACAATTAAAACTATCATTTTTTAATCCAATTTAGAGTTAGAGTGGCTCAGGTTATCCAGAGCTATCTCTATAGTTAGGCTGCTATAGGGTTAGACTGCTGGAGGACCCTTCTTCATCTTTCTGCTTTATTCAATCTCTATTCTCCCAATCTGCAGAAGTTCTTAGTTTAATCTCTAATGTGATGCTCTTTCTGCTTTTTTCTCATCATGCTTCTTGAATCCCAGTCGACCGCTTATACTGAGCCTGGTTCTGCTCGAGGTTCCTTTCTGTTAAAAGGGCATTTTTCTGTCGCTACAAGCATGCTTGGCGTGAGGGATTGCCTTTAAGTTTATGAGTCGATGCAGGTTTTCCTTAGATAGAAAACTTTGAATCAATTTGACTGTATGATCTGATGAACTGTAAAGTGCCATGAAATGACATATGTTGTGAATAGGCGCTATAGGAATAAACTGAATTTAATTGAATATCACAAACGCTAACAGCTTCCTGTGTTTTTCATCTTTAGATTGAAATGTTAATCAGTCTTGGCTCCAGAGAGGAAACAGTGGGGCAAAAAAGTAGCCACTAATTATTCAAGTGCTTCTACTTAGAAAGACGAGAGAGGTTTGCCATTTTCTCTAAATGTAGACTTAAACCAAGGGAGACCAAATGAGGAACAAAATAATACAGGTAATGAAACAGTTTGATTTTTAAAGTATTTATTTGTAAATTATGGTTTAATATGAGTATTTAGTCAATAAAAAAGTTCAACTCAATACTTTTGCACCATAATAATTGTTGGCAATGATAGACGTCAAATGTTTCCTGGCAGTCTTAACTAGGTTTGCTAACACTGTTGGTCCATTCCTCCATCAGATCTCTTTAGAGCAGTGAGGTTTTGGGGCAACACTGACTTTAAACTCCCTCTACAATTTGTCTGTGGGTTTTAGGACTGGAGACTGATGGGGCTACTCCAGGACATAGAAATACTTTTTACTGAGACTTTTTTCTTCTTTTTTTTGGTCCATCTTCAATGCTCTCACTGATGACAAGAGGTTTTGAAATAAAATCTTATGATACATCACCCCTTTTATTATTCCCTTATCATGGATCAATCGTTCACTTTGCAGAAAAAAAGGCACCAAAGCCATTAATATTATTAATGCAGGTAACAAGTGTAGCAAAGAAGAGCTTCTTAAAGGAGAACTTACAAGTTTTGACCAAATACATATTTTCCAGCATTATTTATAAAATAAATTCTTAAAATCCTACAATGTGTCATTTAGATTTTTTCCCCATTTTGTCTCTCATAGTTGAAGTGTAGCTATCTTTGTTAGTAGAAAAACTTGCACAACCAGTGGCCTGCTAAATAGTTTCTTGATTAACTGTAGCTGTCAATGACTTTGATCCCTTAGGAGCATAAAATGCATTTGAATAAGAGAACAACTTCTATTCTTATTGAGAATTAAATGTCTAATCATCCTATCAACTCCTAACTAGTGATGTGTAATGATCCAACAGGCAGACAAGCTGTAGACAGTCATACATATCTAAATTAGAGTTAGTTCCAAATTATTGACCAGTGTTAGCTTTGGTTCTGCTGGAGTACATCTGTAGGACCCCCTCCTTCCATCATATTTCCCCTGTTCTTCACCAACTCCATTGGCTCCCAGTTCAATTCAGAATTCAATTTAAAATCCTTCTCTATACTTTCAAAGCCATCCATAACCTTGCTCCTCCATATCTGTCAGACCTCCTTCACATTGCCACCTCCTCCCGCTCCCTTAGATCCTCCTCCTCCATCCACCTCACTGTACCCCAAGCTCGACTTGTCACCATGGGGAGCAGAGCCTTCAGCCGCTCTGCTCCCCAGCTCTGGAACTCACTTCCTCCCGACCTCCGCAGTATTGACTCTCTCCCCTTATTCAAAGCCAGACTCAAAACCCATCTGTTCCAGCTCGCTTATCTGTGAATACACTGCTCTTTTCCCTATCCATGATTGTTTTTTTATGTTCCTATATCTATATTTTGTATTTTCATCTCTTTTTATTTATCTTTTGTATTATTTGTAAAGTGACCTTGAGTGTCAAGAAAGGCGCTGCTAAATAAATTGTATTATTATTTATTACTATTTAGGACATCACCATAGAGGAAGTCAGAGGTACTGGCCTCCTGCGACATGATGAGGTTAATAATTTTCCAGGGGAATTATCATGAACCTCTGCATGGAGCTGACCCCTGCCTCACAGAGGGAAACCAGGAGGAACCACACCCAACTGACAACAGTAAAACATCCGTTTCATACCGCTGTCTTTCTATGTTAATGAGTCTCCAGGTTTGGATGTTCAAATATTTAAAGCGTTCTGTGGCATCTGGTGGCTGTTAGAAAAACAAAAATAATGATGATGAAAACCTGATTGTATCTTAATATGGCTGAAGTTTTAAGGTGACTGCATTTTTTTAAGTAAATTTTAAAGGTGAATGATTAAATAGGTCCAAGTCAATTATCATCAGTTAAATGCTGCAAAAAATCTTCCATCACCAAGAAGGGTCTTGTTTGGAGATTGATAGACTACGAAAGAGAAGATTGCTTTTAAGAGGATTCTACTTAAAATAAGTGAATCTGCCAATGCAGTGAGGCAAATGCACTTTGCAAGACTTCTTAAAATCATGATAGATATTTTGCTAACAAAAAGTATATAAATCTCAAAACAAGATCTAAGATTGGAGTGCAGTCCGTTCTGTCAATGGATATAATCATATCAATTATTTTGTATGACACAGCAAAAAGTAATCTAAAATGTAAAAAAATCTTAAAAAGACAGGGTAAATAAGATGATTGCCAAAGAAATTTTTATTTATCTTTTTTTTTTTACTATTTGAAATAAGAAGATGTTTGTTTTTTTATTTATTGAAATCATCTTATTACATTAGTATAATGTCTTGCCTACCTGCTCAAATTTAGGCAAAACACACCCCTTTTCAAGAAAATTTACTTATGTCAATTTTTTGTAGTGTATGTCTTAATTACAGGGGCCATTACAGGGGCCAGGATCAGTTCTCCACGGGCTCTGCCTAGGACCGCCCATGGGCTCCATGTTGGAGGCTCTTGGCTGCAATGTAGTTCAAAGAGGCTAAATTCAGCCACTGATAGTGCTCATCTATGTTTATTAGGTTAAAGGTGAGCATCATCTGCTGCAGACCGAAACCTTTCTGGTATCAAATGTAACAACTGGTGGTGGACCGCCAAAGTGCTGATACTCCTGAGCCAGCTTTAAAGGTTATTTAGTTTGTCTTCTTGTCTTTTGCTGAGGTGCTACTCAATTGCCACCTACCTGGTGGTACTCCAGATGAGTATCTAATGACCTGTTCCTGGCTCCTTTTATTCACTGTTTTCTCTGAAATTGTATCTAAGGGTGTAAAGTGTCCTAATTGATTGGTACCGAAGCAGCTGGGCCGGCGAAGGCGAGGCTCAGCAGCATCAGCAGCGGGATCAGCTCATCTCCTCCATCCACGTACGGCATGCTGAGGTCTCTGTCATGGCACCGGAAACCCACCTGAGCCGGCTGCACCACATCCGTTAGCTCAAGGAAGTACAGCGACACCATAGAAGAAGCCACAATGGGCAGCTGCACACACACACAAGACAGAGAGCCAGGATCAAAACTGATGCAATAAAGGGTCAGCTTTGAATAGCCCCACCTGGAGTGAAACATTGTACATCTACTGAGGTCTATGAGTTTTGAAAGGGCTATGGGTCCATTTCTGAGGTTGGACTCTAGAGAATCACAGTCAGGACCAATATTATACGGAGAAAACAAAGAACACTGAAGAATGTTCCAAAGAAAGGCTGAGCTATGAAAACTACTCCAAGAGATAAACAACAATTCATCCAGGAGGTCCCTGAGCATCTAAAGCTCTGCAGGCCTCACTACCTCAGTTAGGGCCAGAGGTCATGGTTCAGCAATGAAATGGCCTCCATTGGGAAGATCCAAGACCAGAACCACTGTTGACTAAAAATACCAGATTAATGAAAAAAGTACCATGATGGTCCTGAAAATGTTAAGAAAAATGTCCTGTCTACTGAAGTGAAGAATGTGGAAAGTAGTATTTCAGAACAGGACACTATACCTACAGACACTGAGAGAGTGGGAATTAGATGTTTCTAACCTCCACAAAGTAGAAACATGGCAGAAGTGTCAAACTGTCCTTTGGAGGTTTCTTCTTCATCTTCTCTGTGGGTGAAGAGCTCATCATCATCATCATCATCCTCATCAACCTGGAACACAAACAAATTAATCAGATGCTTTCAAGATTTTTTATCTATCAGGCTCATCTCCTGTGGAATCAACTCCCAGGTTTGAGCCATGACCCAGACACCTGACAACTTTGAAGAATAGGCTTAAAGGTTTCCTCTTTGATAAAGCTTATAGTTAGAGTGTATCAGGTTATTCTGAACTATCTCTATGCTGCTAGAGGCTTAGGCTGCTGGAAGACATGGGGACCACTTTTCTTACATTCTTCTTCAACTATGAATAACACGTATATATCTCCATCTGGATATGATCAAAACCTTTTCGAAATTTTATTTGATGTATCAGTTTCATTTTTTCACATTAAATCTTCGGAACACTTTCAACTCAAAAGTCTAGTCTCTGAATAGAATCATTGTGTGTACCCATCCTGGACCCTAACTCTACCCCAGCTGTTGATCCAGCTATGGTTTATCCGCACCTGGGAGTGGTTAGATTGAAGATTGAATATCTGGAAAGTGAGTTCACCACAAGCAGGATGAGAGGAATTGACATATGAGCAAGCCATTTGAGTTGAAGAAGAGTGGAAGAAGAAAAACAGGGGATTTCTATTTTCATTTAACAATAAGTTAAGACTTGGTTCTAAATGTCTAGTTGTCCAGTTTTGTCCAGTTTTAACAGAGTGTCCGTGATTCATATAGATGTTGCAGTGGTTGGGAAGAATACTGGATGGTTTAAACTCAAACCACTTGAAACACTTAAACTTCAAGTTTAAGTGTTTCCTTGGCAATCGGCACCTACAGAACTTTTTACGCACAGGCACATTATCAGTTAATAAATGAGTGATCCCATAAACCTGTCAGCCTTGACATGAAGAAGTGTCGGTCTTAACCGCGATCGTTCCTTGTGACAGACTGATAATAGTGCCTTGTGGGACTCCAAATCTCAACTGAGTTTGAATTGAAACCAGTGAAAAGGGAAATATTACTGCCTTAAATCCAATGATTATTCATCCTTAAATTACCAGAGTTTCCTAATCTCCTATTAGATCCGTGTCTGGTCTCTAACTGGATCTAGATTAGAGCAGGATTTTCACTAAATGTCATGATCTGGCCTGTTTGCTCTCCCTTAATTAGTCATTCCTTTTACTTGGATAAAAACTGGACCTCCCCACATATAGAGCCAAAAACCAAGAGGACACCGCAGGGGAGGAACAGTGGACGATTAGGAGACGAGACAAACACAAAAACCCTCTTTCCAGGACAGAAACCAAGGAATAAAACTGACAGGCTAACAGAAAGGCAAGTAATGATCTGGCACTGAATGCTCAGGCTGAAATGAATATAACCAAGAGGAAACAGGTGAGAGGAATAAATTATATTAGAGGCAGGGAGGGAAAACAGGTGAAAGGAATGACTAATTAAGGAAGAGCAAACAGGCCAGATCATGACACTAAATGTCCTAAACATTTAAAAAATAATATGATTAAAAACATGTTTCTGCAATGTTTTCCTGAAATATCAATAAGATGCAGACGACTAAAGCTCTGGTTCTGGAAAGCCCAAACTGGGCTGCTAGAACAGAGCATAGATTTAACAGATGGCTGCTGCATCTCTGGTTGTTTTGATTCTATGAAGGTGGGTCTGTATTTATGCTGTGGAGGTTCAGTTTCTATTTTTGCAAGAAACTGAAAATAAGGAGGTCTCAGACAGCAACAGCCTGTAAATTAGATGGGATCAGGCCTTATACTGGAGCTGTTGGATCTGGAAGCAGTTAAATCTACCCTGGATCATTTGGCTTTGTGCTGGATCAGCCCTAAGACCATCAGCAAGCTGTGGAACGGTCCACAAGTTCTACAATGGAAAGGTCCAATACTGGAGAGCTGTGCAGGTCCATTAATGGACCGGAACAGAACATGGACATCTGTCATAGAAACATGGAGGTTTCCCATCATCATCCTCCTCAGATCAACCACCTCAGGCTCACTGCCAATTAACCTCCCACCAATCAGAACACTGGGATACAGATGTTACTGCGGCGCGTGCAGGATTCATATCTCTGCGGAGCGGATAATCCGGATCGCTCCTGAAATGTTCCCATTCTTAACCCGCAACGCGTGTGCATGCATAGCCAAACACGCATTGACGGAGGAGAACGGGTTGGTCTCACCTCAGATCATGGAGCCGCTGGGATTCCGGATCTCTGCTGCAGAACCGGACCGCCTCAGCAGGATACCTGCTCTAGTGGATCGCGGGCCTTTGGCTCTGGTCCAGTCAGTTTGGGTGCTGGAAGTGTCGGTTCCGACCCATGCGGTTTGGGTTTTCAATGCGTTCGTCTGATTTGAAACCTGAGATCTGTCAACGTTTTCTGGCTGGTGGGGATGCTGCTGCTCGGCGGGGGCGTGCGTCTGCGCGTGCACGTGTGTATGTGGGGACAGAGAGAGAAACACAGAGGAGAGAGAGGCAGCTTCTGAGAGCAAACTGGCTCTAATGGTTCTGACCTACAACCAGAACACCTGACAAACATGGAGAACCAGCTTCAGAACCTCAGATCTTTTAATCCAGGTAGTTTATCAGATCAGATGTCAGCTGGATCCTCTCAGTGAACTAAAATAATAATATCACACTGGAGAAATTCACCTCTGCATTTAACCCATCCCCTTTGGGGAGCAGTGGGCTGCCATTCTGCAGCGCCTGGGGAGCAGTGTGGGGTTAAGGGTCTTGCTCAGGGACTCAGAGTGGAGGCTGTGGGGATCGAACTTGCAATCTTCTCAGAGCATAAGTGCAGGGCTCTAACCACTGGGCCAACACTCCCTACTATGCAGGATCTCCAGATTCTGTTGCATTGATCTCCTACAACGGTCCAAGCTCTTGTGTTGGTTCCATGGTTCTAGATGTAATGCTGTGAGTGGTACCAGTGGGCTACTAATGTCTCCTCCTCCTTGGCTTGGACTGGGTCACTGGGTGTGAAAAATGTTTGAAATCATCAAACTGTTCGATCCCCATAGTCCTGCAGCAGAGCCTTCAGGAGGGAAGGTGCTGCAGGTTTCTGCTGGGATCAGTTTCCTGGACCGGTCAATCTGGATCGATCTCATTAGATTGTTGTATCAGGATCGGCCTCTTCAGATCAGTCTCCTTGGATTGGTCAGACTTTCTTCCATAGACTTCCTGTATCTCTTACTCTCTAAATTGGTCTCTTTCTAGATCAGTCTCTCTGGACCTTTCTCTTCGGATCAGTCTATCTGGTTCCATCTGTCTGGATTGGCCTACTTGCATTAGTCTCTCTGAGCTCGCCTCATCTGGTCTCTGGGATACCTGCCCATTCCTTAGGGATTCATAAATGACCAGTGTTCTTTAAATCAAAACGTAAATTATTAGAGGTCTTAACTCTTGTTAGATCATTTCAACATTTAAATGTCCTTTAAAACGGCTCTCGTGCTGCTCTGCTCTCACATTAGTTATAGACCTCACTCATAGAGCCCTTATTAGTGCCAGTGATATTTGGATGCAGTGATGCAGATGCATTTTCTGTGACTTTAGTTTTTGATACAAAATTGTTTCAGGTTGTGCTTTAAAAAGGTCCATGCTCTTGTCTGCTAGATCAACCTTTTTGGCAGGTTTCCATAGGGTGAATGACTGAAAATTTTCTTCAATTAAATGAAGAAAATGGTGAGGTTATCATTTTTATGTTAGAACATTGTCTCAGATCTCTGGTTTGTCACTCAGTTAATCTTCCTTTCGGCATGAGATAAAATCTTAACTCATGCTTTTTTTTTTTAAATCTTGTCTGGATTGCACTTTACTTGTATGCTGACCTGATCGGACCACCACCAAAATGTGTTCATAAGACTTCTAGGTTCTGTTTAACTGTAAGATGCATTTCACACAGCAAAAACTATCTTAAAATGTGTAAAAGATTCTTAAAATAAAAGTGTATTTACCCTGTACAAAAAAACTACAATGCAGCAATTGAGTTAATCCCTTCCCATTGCAGCTCCAGCCCCTGTACAGGAGAGCAGAAGACCTCTCCTATTCACCCAGGCTAATAATTTCCTTTAACGACCCCCCTTTCAGACACTTAGACAGGTATGGGTCATTGCAGGCTAACAAAAGAAGCCAAATGACCCCCATTCCAAAGGGATGGACCCCTTCGTCCGTTTCAATTTGCATGTTTTTAAAAGACTACTGTATAAAACCTCAAACTCAAAGCTATACATGACATTTTGAAATGAAAAAGCTTCTTTGGATGGGAAGCGAAAAATCTTCCAACTTGGAAAGAAAGTCCAGTGGATTGTTTTTAATTTTCTTTTTTTGGAATGACTATGACTATTAATATGAGTGGGTATATAAGATGTCTGCCAATGGAATCAGTATGTTTAGGCTTAAAATAAGATAATCAAGTGTAATGCGCTGGAAATAAGAGACAACAGTAATTTTTTTCTTATTTTAAATGTAAATGGTCTTATTCAATTTGCAAAGTGTCTCACTTACAGCTCAATTCAAGGGAAAAAAAATGCAATTAATTTTAGAAAAATTCACATAGATTTAATTTTTTTGCAGTGCAAGATGTCAGTTTTGAGTCTACACTGAAAAAAATAATGCAAGCATTATTGGTATTTACTTCATCATATTTAGTTACTTTAACACAATTGCTTTATGTTAGCAGGATAGGACATAAAACAATTGCGTTAAAGTAACTAAATATGATCAATAGCAAAAACGATTGCATTATTCATAGCCAGACATCTGTCTTTATCTCCGAATACCAACATCCTTTTACCTCTATTTAGAGCCTTGAGGCAGACTGGCAGGTTCTGTTCCACAATATTTCCTGTATTTAGCACCATCCAGCTTTATTATGACTGGAATCAGTTTTCCAGGCCGTGCTGCTACTACAGCATGATGCTACCATCATGTTATACAAGTTTTCTTGGATGCTAAGAAGTTAAACTTTAGTTTTATGAGACAGTCAGGTTGGTTTTGGTATGAGGATCTTTCCATTTGAAGATAGATTGGGTGGTTTTCCAGAGAAACAATAAAAATCTGGATATTTAGGGAGAAGCACTCCGGTTCATAAATGGGCGCCTCTGCTTACATTTTTTCACTAATTATGTGGTTTCAAAAACAAACTGGTTGCACCAGAACATTTTGGAGCTTTGTTTTTATATTTTTCTAATCTAATTTAATTATTTTTGACTATTTTTTCAGATTCATCACACAAAATAAGATTAAAACCATTAAAATTAAAGCTAAGGTTAAAGGGGGTAAATTCTTTTGTAGGTCACCTCCACCTACAGACGACAGACTTGGACACTTTACTAGAAAAACAGGTTTTATTTACAGGAAACGGGGGCACTGCAGCCTCACAGGAGTAATCAGGTCGTCAGGTTCTGGCACCCTCTTACTTCGAGCAGAACCTGATAACAACAGGGGGTTTGGTTCATGAGAACGTTGGCGGGATCCTCCTCCACAGACCCCCACAGAGGCAGTTCTTGATCCAGCGCTGCTCCCACTGCTTCATGGCGTTCGTCTTGTTGGGAGATCGCAGCATCGTCACACAGCCGCACCTGGAGGGGGAGGAGTTTAGCACATTACAGGTGACGTTTCAGAATGAGCAGATTCTGCTTCCAACATGCCAACCATGATGGATAACTGAGATGCAGTGATGTCACTTCCTGTGGACTCACCTGGTGCACACTTTACTCTCCTCGGTGGGACTGACGCCCATGTGGATGCAGCGCAGATTGTCCATCTTCTGAGCTCCGGGACTCCTGAACACAATCAAAGATCAGTCTGTCTGCAGCTTGATGACGGTCCGCTACAGCTGCCAGGGGAGCTTTACCTGGTGAAGACGTCCAGGGGGGCGGTGCCTCCCACTACCTGCAGCGATGACGCTCTTCCAAACTGCAGCCGGAGGGGGAGCTTACCCTGCAGCTTCACAATGATCCCATCGTTCACTGGGAGCCAGTCCATACTGGGAACCAGCAGCTGGCTGGGCAGAAGGCAACATTCGTCTATTAGGCTCTCGTCAGGTTCCTGGGAGGTGCCATCCTCCCGAGCTGCCAGACAGAAGGGGGGGTTAGCTATTGGTGTTTCAGATCAAAATGTACCTCAAAGTAAAAGAGGACTGGGTGATGTAACTAAATCCATAAGTAGAGACAGAACTATTATTTACTGTAAACATGTTTTTTTCCCAGTGTCTCTAAATGCATCACTTATGTTACAGCTCTCCAAGTCAATTTTCCTGGAATGTGATTATTTTCCATTGTTTTTAATGGGTAAGACAGTTTTTCAATAAAATTAAGATGATTTATGTTTAAAATATTAATTTATTTCAAGTTGATTACATGTAATTATTTAATTCTAAGGGCAAAACCACTCATTCCATAGTATAAACAAGATCAATTTCACCTATCTTAAGAAATCTTTACTTATTTTTAGATCAGTGTTTGGTAAGGTGTTGTGTAAGATCAGGACTACGTCTCTTACAGCACAGCCACAGCTTGGTGAGCAGTCTGAACAGCAGCTGCATGCTGTCCTGGTTGTCTGACATGGCCGTGAAAGTGGGGAGGCAGCCGGGCTTCAGCAGCCCCCAGATCCGGATCATCACCAGCATCTCCCTCAGCATCCCCAAAGATGCCCCGTCTCTCATGAAGCCAAAACCGGGCCGCACAATGGAGCCCTGCAGGAGACAGAAGAACGTGGGAGGAACAGGGTGAGTCCACGGAGCGCCTGAGGGGGAGGCAGGATCTAAAACTGTAAACTACCTAGTTCTAGGGATGACATTCCAAACTCTATACCAAATCTAAGAAAAAAACATTTTCAAAAAAACTGCAATTTATCTTCTTTCATGGAAAGAGTTATTTACAAAAAGTTTACTATATATAAAATTTACTATATAAAATTTTTTTTTTTTTTTAGGGGAAATCTAATAAGCACGGACATTTATTCAATTAATATGCTGGGAAAAAAGGTTAATTAAATCATAAAACACGGTAAACTAAATACTGATGAGATAAGAAAATAGAAAATAAATTCTTATTTTTTAATTGATTATAAATTTGTCATTATTTTCAACCAATATTGTGATTTTATTGTAAATTTCCTTTGCACTTAGCATAAGCATGTAGCTTTTTCACTCCAGGGTTCCAGTTTCTTCAGGACATTGAAAGCTTACTTACCCAGAGTCCTTCGGTGCAGGACTTTACTGTAAACTTTACATGTTCTTATTTCTACTATAATGCATGGATCTGCATTCTAGCTGCAACTCTCTCTTTCAGTGTGGTGGCAAACCCAATTTAAGCGTCTTACCGCCACCTAAAGGCCTGGAGGGTGAAATTTAGCGTCTTACACATGTTAAGTTTAATGTGGCTAAAATAAAATTCTGTTTTTCTAAATTACG